AAAAAAAAAAAAAAAAAAAAAAAAAAGAAAGAACCAAATCAGGAGTCTCTGCTCAGTGTGGCCTATAAATACTTCTAAGTAACACTGTCTGTCTGTTTTTGAGTTCTAATTAATTAGCACAAAAGAAATTGAAAATAATTTGTTCTGGTGAAATAAGTAGAGCTTATGGGAATAAACTGCCTGGAAATCATATGTTGTATCCCTACCCTTACAGATTGAGGTGTAAGAAGTGGAAAGCCTAGCAGCTAACAACCTCTAGAGTGACATTCTGGGTGCCACCTAATAGTGGGATTTGCACATAATGCAACTAGAAGGATCAATGATCCCTGAAATTAGACTATGACTGAGTTTGCCTGAGCAGATCTTTCCTTTCCTTCATGATACCTGTCAGAGTACTTAAAGGGCAGAGGGCTGAAATTTTACTAAGCTTCCAAGAACAAGTCCCACAAACATTTTTGTGTCTGCTTGCTCATAAACACAATCTAAATAACAGATTTTGGTCTGGACGCGCCTTCATTACAGCATCTCACCGGGTAAGAGAGGTGACAAGAGAGTGAGTGCCACAACAGTTAGAAGCTCTCTGACAATTATCAAGCTTCCAATTAGTTTGGAAGGAATCTCTTCATTCCTTTTATATATAGAACACTTCATATAGCATAGTAATTCCTAACTTTCCAAAAATAATTTATTGTAAAAACAATCTTCAAAAGCTACCTGGGAGGGCTGGGTGTAGTGGCCTGCACAGGTAGTCCCGGCTACTTAGGAGGCTGAGGAGGGAGGAGCACGAGTCCAGAGTTGAGGCCAGCCTGAGCAGCACAGTGAGACTCTCAGGAAAACGGGCTGAATGGGCCAATCGCATGTACAGCTCTGGGTTCAATTCCCAGCACCCCAGGAAGAAAAGTTTTCTTAAAGCTAATTCACTGGGGTGTTACTCAGGGATAGGGTGCTGGTTTAGCATGCATGAGGGCCTGGGTTTAATCTCTAGCACCATTTTTAAAAATTAAATTAAATTAAAAAAAAAAACTTACCTAAGATGCAAGAGTCTGGGGAAAGACAAAGAGTGGGAGGATCCCACTGTATGATCATACTGAGGCTCAGATCTAGAAAGTAAACACATCTGTCAATGATTTAATGACAACATAAAATTATACTTTCCCAATAGCTATGTGGAGAAATTCTCATCTCTAAGTGAAAGGAAAGTGTCTGCCCTCATTTGATTCCCTCATTCAGTGGTAGAGCATTTACCTGGCATGTCAAGACCCTGCATTCAATTCCTAGCACTGGAAAAAAAAATGACTGGGAAATGAACTCAAGGCCTTCATGCTAACTGCATCCCTAGGCTTTATCTTTTTTTTATTTTGCAGTGTGGTCTGAGTCTAAATTGCCTAGGTTGGGCTCAAACTTGTGATCATCATGCTTCAGCCTCCCAGAGTGCTAGAATTACAAGCATGCACCACCACGCCCAACTTGACTTCACTTTTAAAAAGCATAATAAAATATTTAACTCATTAGATTATCAATTAGTGTAACCCAATTCTTCGATATAAATTCCTCAAATAATCCCCACAGGATTATTACACGCACATTATTACCTTGGAGTAATCACTGGAAGAGGTGGCAAAGAGAGGAGTTTCTTGAACTGATGTGTACTTTTAACTTCCCCGTCAAAGCTCACTTCCCACATCCTGGAGCCAGGACGAGCACAATATATTAGAGGTTGTTGGCCTCCAGAACACCTTCCAGGGAAGAAGCAAGCTCCATATTCTCCGTCTCTTTCCTTGTTTCCAATTTTCCAGAACTTTTCTCTAATACCCAGAAAGGAAAAGGAAGTATGTTTACTCACAAAAAAGTTATTCAGAGTCCAGGGATTTAGCTCAGTAGTGCCGATGCCTCCTTGCAAGTGCAAGGTCCTGAATTTGATCCATGGGCACCAAAAAAAAAAAAAAATAGTAACAGTAATGTTATGCAACAGGAAGCAAACCTTCTCACCTAAGTACTCGGTTCTTATCCATAGAACGAGGGGCTTACAATCTGCTGCAAATCTAAAGGTGAATGCTATAAAACAATCTCATACATCCTTGCATCCTACTGACTGCTCCCCAAATCATTTTGTAGAACCAGTGTTCTTTGGACATTCCATTAGAGCTGCTTAAACCTCTCCAACTCGGTCTCCAAGCCATTCGTCCCTGTCAAAAGCACCCAGTGAATTCATTCTTTCCTCAAAATGCCAGGTCCTTCTGAAACTCTGTACTGTAGAACATCCTGTACATTCAGATTACATGAATTAGATACATAAAAGACTTTTGCACACTTCCTGGGAATATGGATGGTGATACTGATGAGTTTGCCTCTTTCTAAAAACCCATTACTTATTTTCATATCTTTGTTCTCTTATTCTCCCTGGACCCCCATTTGTTGAATTACATGCTGCCTAACAACGCTTTTACAGTACCTATTACATTTACATAGCAATTATGACTGTTTGAATGGCAGATTATGTTTTGTTTTGTTTTGTTTTTGGTACTGGGGATTGAACTAGGGTCGTCCTTGGGCTTGCAAGGCAGGTGCGGAACCACTGAGCTAAATCCCCAGCCCGGGAGATTATGGCTTTTCAGGATGAAGGCCTTTCCTTATTCCTCTTTATTTGAATGACCAATGCATAGCACAAAGTCTGGCTGAAACAAGCATTCAGTATACTGTAGTGCCCACAGACTCAATCTCTTTCACTGGAGAATGATCTAAGATGCTCTCTAGCATGAGTTTACTACATGAGCTCAAATAATAAATATTCCTATACTTATTTGTTTCATAGATAAAATACAGTATTTGCTTTATTATAAGAACATGGACTATCTGGATTCTCAAAAACTGAGTTCTAGTTGACAGAAAGTAGTCATTTCTAAAACATATTACTTTTGCAATAGGTTCTACATTACTGCATCCTAACTCTTAGTTGTTCCTCTTTAAAATGGATGCATGAGGGGGCTGAGGATTTAGCTCAGTGGTTCTTCCACCAGCCTTGCAAGTGCAAGGACCTGAGTTCGATCCCTGGTACCAAAAATAAATAAATAAATAATCTAATCAAATCAAATAGATGCATGAGGGTTCATTATACAATCTCCTTGTTTGTATACATTCAAGTTTGCCTAAAGAAGGGATGATCCTGAGAAACAACAGTAGCCAATGAAGAAGCCAGGCTGGGAGATGGGGGAGCAGTGAACATTCTTACGGCAGTGAGACTAGCTAAGGAACTCAGGCACTGTGATACAGCTGTTTCCCATTCTGTTCTGATATTTCACAGCTACCTCAAATATATTCCTTGGCCATTCATTGTACCTTTGGCTCCATCCTTGAGACTTTGAAATATCTGTCAGCTTCACAAAGGTCTCAATAATTCTTAAACCAATTTACTCTTTAGTAAAATTCTATCAAATACAGAAATTTAAAAAATAGCAACAACAAACTCAGTCAAGAAAGCCTTCCCTGGGTTGGGGATTTAGCTCAGTGGCATGGCACCTGCCTCCAAGCATAAGGTTCTGAGTTTGATCCCCATTTCCAAAACAAAAAAAGCCTTCCTGGTAGGCATGGTGGCCTATGCCTATAATCCCAGCACTCTGGACTGAGGCAGGAGGATTGTCTCAAGTTGAAGGCCAAGCTGGGCTCCATAGTGAGTTCAAGGCGAGCCTGAACTACACAGTGAGACCCTGTCTCAAAAAGAAGTCCTCCTGACTCTTCACATTGAAAGACTTTCTCTCTTGGCACCTACGTTATGCCTCATGGCAGGGTTCACTGAATATCAGACTGCCTCAGTCTCCTCTGCCTCCTCTGCACTTTTTGAGATAGGTTCTCTTTTCTCAGTACCAGAGATCGAACTCAGGACCTTGCGCTTGCAAGGCAGACGCGGTACCACTGAGCTAAATCCCCAGCTACCTTTCCACTTTCTAACATCAGCTTGCATTGCACTGGTTCCTTATCAATATATGTGTAATTAACTGAGGGGATTTAGGCCAGATGACTTCCAAGACCTTTCTAGGTCAAAAGTTCTGTATACTAAAGGTGCTTGGTTGGTTAACATACCTCTCAGTGTCACACAGGAAGGATCGAGTAAGTGACGATACAAGGAGTCTTCCTTCCAAATAATCTAGCTGGACAACACAAGAATCAACTGTTGTTATTGTCTGAACAGGAAACATCACAAAGGCAGCAGTTGCCTAAAAGGAATTCAAGAAGAAAATAACGTGTTTTTTATTAAAACATAAACATACACGTACAATCTACTCGCATTTTTTTTTTTTTTTGAGATGGAGATTCACTGGTTGGAATTTCCTAGGCTGGCCTCAAACTCTTGATTCTCCCACCTCAGCCTCTCAACCCATAATTATAGCACCTAGCTCCTCTTCGCTTTTTAAATGAAAAGAACTTGGATAGCAAAATAAACTTTCAAAATAGGACAAAATGTAATTTCTCTACAAGAATATAAAAGTATCACTCATTTAAAGTTTTGTGAAATTTTGCCTACTTGTGATCATTTCATCTTAGAAGTTCGAGTGAGAGATGAAGACAGTTTGAAAATGTGATTGTATTTTTCACCTATAGATAGTACTTCTCTCTTTGGGAAAAAGATAAATCGAGTCTATGCTATGCATAGAGATCCAACTGTATTGTGGGGGGCGGTACTGGGGATCAAATTCAGGACCCTGCGTTTGTGAGGAAGGCAGTGGAACTACTAAGCTACATCCCCCGCCCCTCAATTATATTTTAGACCAAAAATACATTAGGAATCAGAGCCGGGATGTAGCTCAGTGGTGCAGAGCCTGCCTGACAAGTGCGAGGCCCTGGGTTCAATTCCTGGTACCAAAGAAAAATTTTTTTTAAAAATTAGGAATTGTTGTGGCTTATATCTAGATGTCCTCCCAAAGCCTCATGCAGTCTTTTTTGAAGGTGGCTAAATCTAGAGTGTGTGGTGTCAGGATTAAAGGCGTGTGATCACTAAACCACTATATGTGAGTGATTAGTTTGGCACTGCCCTAATCTGGTAGTCTGAATAAGATAAAAGGAACAGAAAGACACTGCTGAGGTCGTCCTTGTTGTTTTTGGCTGCTACTGCCACCATGAATTATTGCCCTTCTGCCACCACACCTTGGAGCCAGCCAATTATGCACTGAAACCACTACAAACTGTAAGCCAAATAAACCTTTTCTCCTTCAACTTTGGGCGTCAAGTATTTTGTCTCAGCAATGACAGAAAAGTAACACAGGAGACAAATGATAATTCTGATGGGTCATGATGGCCAGGCCAGAATATACTGATGTGTCCATTAAAATAGGTAAATTAGCTGATAATATTTAGATTTCCATTTTCCTGCCAGAATTCTACATGGAAATAAGCCATTGAGACAAATTCCCCATTTCTCATACATTTCTCATATTGCTTTGGTGGACTTTCTTCGGTCACACACTAGAGCATTCTATTAGGACAACCTGAGTCTCCAGCCTTCTAGCAATATCTATGGTGGGAAACCTGGGGTCCTGCACAGCTGAGCCCAAGCCAGTAGGTCCCTTTAGCATTCAATTCCAATTAGTTACATCTATTCTGAGAAAATAGTCTGATACCCATGAGACAGGAGCCAGTAGAATAAAAACCTAGAAATTGGTGCCATTTTTTGCATTTGTGTTTCTTTGTTTTGTTTTTACTTTGAGACAGAGCCTTGCTGTGTAGCCCAGGCTGGCCTCCAACTCACAGCAATCTTATGTCAGCCTTCCAAGTGCTAACAAACACTACCACACCCAGCCCTCATTTCTTTATTTGCCATTTTATTTACACAACTACTAAACAGACTTTCTTTAGTAGTCTGGATTAAAGAATACTTCAATTAAATGAGCCATATAGGTAAATTAGGGAGTACTACAACAATGTGCAAATAATTGAAGTAAGTTCATAGAAGCCATTCTCAATGGTCTCAAACTAAAACAGACTACCAACGTACTACAAACGAGTCTCAAAATCTCCAAGTGTTAACTTTAATTAGTCCCTCAAGAAATAGAGTAGCCAAAACAGCATCTCTTAATTCCAAGTTCTGTGAGACAACACCTTGTATCTCACCATATACATGAAGAAATAGAGTGGTTCTCACCTTTGCTTGTTTAGAAGTGTTGAGTTTGATGGCAGAAACTTTCCCCACGTGGTCACCTACAAAGACTCTAAGAATAGCTGTATCCCAAAAGAGAGCTGTAACTTTTCGGCCTTTGTGTTCTGAAGACACATAAATTCGTTCTGGTTTCCCACGATGCTCTTGATTTAATTCCCAAACAACTACAAGACCTTGACTGTAAGAGTTGAGTCACAGAAGCAAATTTTTGGCAGTGGTGAAAAAGAAAAAAATTTAACTGTAGCATAATATCAACTATATTAAGTGTATATGCAAAACAGTCTTCAAAAAAAAGGAAGTGAAAAGTTAAGGTATTGATTTCCTTGTACTAGTCACCAAACCAGTGTAATAGGAGAACTTAATGTTCCAAATTATCTCTGTTCCCTTTCTCTTTAAGGACTGAAATCTGTGGCCTCAAATTAGCATTTTTCACAAACACTTGGGTGATCATACTGCACGGCTGGGTACTGAGAGATTTCCCAGGACACAAGAACTTCAGTGCTAACACTGGGACTGTACTAAGCAAAATGAGGCAACCAGTCACCCTACCAAACATACTTGCCAGTTTAAAAGGTATTTAGAAAATTTCAGATAGTTTTAAAACTGTTTCTTACCTAGTAGCTACAGCAACATAATCATCATCGTGTGAACAACAGGCAACCTGCAAAATTGCACCTTCCTAGGGCACAAAAGGAAAAATGCTTTTAGAATCTCTACACATTCTTCTTTCATTCTATATGATTAATTATATTGGTGATACTCATATCTACAAAAGAAACTCTGAATAGTGTGTGATCGGGCTCCCCTAATCTTACCCGGTGTGAGAGAAAAAGCCTGTGCTTCCAGCCTTCTTTCTGAATGAGATTGACTCCTCCTCCCGAGCTGCCCAAGGCCAGCCATTTCCGAGACACAGCTATGCTGGTACACTGAACACATGTGAAGAGACAAGCAGGAGGTGTTCACAGCCACTCAACCACATAAACTACCCACTGGAAAGACACACTGAGCATTATGTTCAGTTCCTCCCCCTGCTCCACCCACTGCCAGATGGACACAACACAACTCACTTTCTAATTCTAGAAGATTGAAAAATGACAAACAAAGGACATTTTGTTTTGTAACTTTTTCCTGAATCTCAAATGCTTTCAATAGGCTCTAGGTATAAATGAGTAATTCTTTCTTTGGCCAAAGCCTGTTATTTGACCACTCATAGTCTGTGTAGTTTGGCTAAGTCATCCTAACGCTGACTGAAAGGAAGAACAAGGAAGTTACCAGAGGATAATGCAAGTGCTTTAGTCATTTCAAGTCTGTAGTCATCACAAGACACCAACAGCTCAGGAGCAAGTGAAACTGGAGGGCGCCCACATGGGTCACTGTACTGCCAGCTCTTCCCACACCCTCAGCCTGCTGATTTCTCTCTTAATTCTCAGAGAAAGCAGTGGTCGTTCTATGCCCAATACCCTGACAAAAGTTATTGGTGGGCCAAGAGACATCCCCAAAGCTCCTCAACATGGTTGCTTTCTATCCTAGAAGCTGAAAACCTAAATATTCACTTTCAGTTTCTCTTGCTGCCAGGAATAGCCATGTGACTCAATTCTAGCTAAAAGACTAAGTCTGCCGAGGACTTCCTGGGCAGCTTTGCCTTTCCAGAAGAAAGGTGAGTGTGAAGAAAACTAAGCCTTTGCTCTTGGGCCCTTCATTCTTGCTTGGGATGTTATACGGAACATTAAGACTGGAGTCATTCCGCTGCCTGCCTTACAAGCACAAGGTCCTGAGTTTAATCCCCAGAACAACAACAAAAAAGACTGGAGTCAGAGCCAGACATGGTGGTGCACACCTGTAATCCCAGCACTTGGGAGGCTGAGGCAGGAAGATTGCTGTGAGTTGGATGCAGGCCTGGGCTACAAAGTGAGTTCAAGGCCAGCCTGAACTATATAGCAAGACCCTGTCTCAAAAACCAAACAAAAACAAAAAGACTGGGGTCAGGATGCACACATTACAACTGTTACTAAAAGCCAACACATGTATGATGGCAGAAAAGGAAAGGTGGAGAGCCTGTTTCCTCAGTGACAGCACTGGGCCACTATGCTTAACAAAGCAACACCAATTCCAAGAAGACTATAAAGTCCTTATTACATAAAACACTATTCATGAGGTACTGTATTTTATAACTTGCAGCTAAAATAAATGTCTGATGTCAATCCTTCTAACTGTTGCTCATATTATTTTTCTCCTTACTTCCTAGTCTCCCCTTCCCCAGAGATTAGAAATGTACTTTGGGGTGGCAGCAAAAGCATAAGAATGAAATTATTTCGGAACTGGTTAAAAGACTTTGGTCTTTATCATATCATTCTTAGATTTACTCAAAAGAATTCAGGGTTTGAACACAACGTCTCACAGAACTAACTTTTACTCTGCTTCCTAAAATGGGGGTTACATCAAAATCTGCCATGGGGGCTGGGGATTTAGCTCTGTGGTTTGCCACCTGCCTCGTAAGAGCAAGGTCCCAAGTTTGATCCCCAGTACAAAAAAAATTTTTTTTAATAGGGTATTCTCACTTATATTATTTTAATTTTGCTAAAATATATTACTTTCTGAAACAAGACAGCAAGATTACTGAGGGGGAAAATTAATCAAGCAAAAAAGAAAAAAATATAGGAATTAAAATTTAGTAATTAAAAATTAAGCAATTAAAAATTAAGTAATTAGCATCAGATTGCAGGCCTGGAAAAGAATTAAAAGGATAGCTCAAAAATTAAATTTAAGAGCCACGTGTGGTGGCACATGCCTGTATTCCCTGCACACCAGAGGGAAAGGCAGGAGGACTGACACAGCTCAAGGCCAGCCTGGGCTCAACAGTGAGTTCAAAGTCAGCCTGAACTACATAGCTCAAAAATACTAAACAAATAAATCAAGAGAATGTGCTACCTCCATGTAAGGTATGACAAGCACAAGTAATAAAACTCAAGATTCCACAAAACATAAAGAACTAGAGGGCAGGAGTAAATGTAACAGTGCATAAAATTATGAATATGAGCTGGGCATGGTGGTATAAGCATATAATTCCAGCCACTCAGGAGGTGGAGGCAGAATGATCACACATTTGAGGTAAGCCCAGGCACAAGATATAGGTTAGTGTTAGAATGTTCCAGAGTTCAATCACTAACAGCAAAAAAAGTAAAGAAATTAACACAGGGATCAAAATGTTTACCTTTAGCCGACTGGAGTCCAGGCGCAGAGCTGAGAGTAATGAGTCCAGTGACTCAAACTCTGTGAGAACATGGCTGTAAGACTCTGGGATCGCTGGCACAAAAGTCATTTAGCCAGAGAGAAGTTGTTGTTCGATTACAACCACAGTATTCCTCCCCTGAATAAAAACTGTAAAAATTAATTTAAGAGGATCACCATTCATTCAGAAGCACTTAATGAATGTGTGAGAAACCAGAGGCGCAATAGTGTGTTCACAGTGTCATTCTCCGATTAGAAAACTGACAGTATCAGGTCTGGAATTTCAAGGCCCTCCATAATCCTATTCCACTGCAGTATCTAACAGCATGCATAGGCAAAGTGGACACAGTAGGACTTAAAAGAAAAATTAACCAAACTCTCTTGAAGGTAAAGGAGCAATCCTGTTGCATTTCTTTGAGTTGTAAATTTTCTGTCTTTAGGAGTTTTTCATTAACACGTAACTTTCTGTAAAGGTCCCAAATTATAAACCCTCATCAGTAAAATAATCAGCCAACAATTTCACAGTGCATAACAGCAAGAGTCCTCTGTCTCTCTCCAGCTACCAGAGCTCAATGGGTGTGTTAAATGAATCAAACAATGAACTAAATGACAACGTGGAGGGAATTAGCACAAAAAAAAATAACAACTTCAATAAAAGAAACCAGATGGGGGTGACTAGGGATAAGAATACAAGGTAGCATTTGATCTGATGCAGGGGGGAAAAAAAAGAATAACACAAGGTAACAAATGTCAAATACCCAATGAGTAAACTAACAGAAGAGTTATCTGCTCGGCTTACTTTCACTGGCACATTTTTTGTCAAATGGCACCAATTTCCAGAAAAAAAAATAAAGGAAACTTAAAAAAAATTCTACTCATTAATTTTATTTTTCTCAATCTTTTGCTACCTGCCAAATTAAGAAAAGCAAACAAATTTTACAGAAAACAATAATAAACAACTGTTTATATTTTGGGGAAGTACAGAAATAGAATTCCGGACCTTGCGCTTGCAACACTGAGCAACTTATTTTTGTTCATACTTTGTTTCTTTACTTTTTTTCAGAAATGTGTATTCATTCATTCTTTTACTCAACAAATACACACCGAACACTATCGATATGCTTAGGTATTGCTCCCTCTCCTGAAGATAACAGTATAAGACAAAACAGTATCCTAATTATGGAACATACTCGATAGTGGAAAGCACATACAAACTTATGGGTTCTGCTTAGTTTTTTGTTGGTTTGGTTGATTTGATTTGGTTTTGCAGTGCTGGAGATGGAATCAGGAGCTTATGCAAGCTAGGCAAGTACTCTGCTGCTGGGCTACATCTCTAGCCCTTGTGATTTTTTTTATTGCATACACAAATGTAATGTAGTCTTATTTTCTGTAATACTAGTCTTAGCATAGCCTGACATCTGTAAAGAGAATGGTTTCCTAAAAACAAAAATATTTAGTACACCTGTACTCAAAATATTTGAGAATTCCAAATGTGAAAAAAATTCATCTCTCATTTTTCTACTCATTAAGTAAGTAATAAAATACCAACACAGGGGTGGAAACAAGATAAGCAAAACAACTCCAGAAATCACCTTATAATCAAATAGGGGGAAAAAAGACAAATAAATACCATATACATACAAACAGAGGCACAGAGCTCTCACAAGAAGCAAAGTGCTCTTTTAGAACTTAGAGAACAGAGGAATGACACAGGTTAAAGGGAACTAACTCTAGCACCAACAACAAGAAGTCTTTTTTTTTTTTTTTTCTGTACCAGGAATCAAACTTGGGATTACCAAGAATTCTTGAATCAGAAAGAAAAGAAAAAAGGAAGCAGGTAGGCAATGATAAACAAAGATATATAAATGGAAAATATATAGGGAGAATGCAAGTTCAATCTTTAGCTGAAACACAGAATACAAACATGGTATAAGGAAAGATAAAAGGTGGGATAGTAAGGGGCCAGGGATTTAGCTCAGTGTTGCCGTCGCCTGCCTTGCAAGCACAAGGACCTGAGTTTGATCCCTGGTACAAAAAAACAAAACAAAACAAAAAAAGTGGGAAAGTAATTTGGGACCAAAGTGTAAAACACTTTGAACCACTGGACATGGTAGCACTTGCCTGTAATCCCAGTACTTGGGAGGCAGAAGGAGGAGGAACATATGCAGTTCAAGGCTAACTGGGCTACATAGTGAGTTCAGGGCCAGCCTGAACTACAAAAAGAGACCTTGTCTCAGAAGGCCAAAAATGGGCAAGGGATTTAGCTCAGGGGCACAGAGCCTGCTTCGCAAGCACAGGGTCTTCAGTTTGATCCCTGGTACAAAAACAAACAAACAAACAAACAACACTTTGAATCTGAAATTTTAAATTTTAAACTTTGGTAGCAAACAGAAAAGTATTAGTGATGGGAGGTCACATAATTTTACTAAAGTGTTGTGGGCAGACACTAGACAACAAGGACTTGAAAAACGCGAAGGGGAGGTGGGTGAGGAAATGAAGGCATTTCAATTATTCAAGAAGCCTTGTGAGAAAAAGACAAAGCCCCTCCACTTCCTGAATAGTGGAGCCTTAAATTTGTTACTACTCCTAGTAGCTAAAAGCACAAGAAATTTTCAATAGCTCCTTTATATAATGTGATCGCATTTCTCTTTTCCCAGTTTCATATCCCACCTTATCCTCTCCAACTAAGAGGAAACTTAAGTTCCTCTTTCATTTTACAAACTTTCGATTTAATATACTGTGTGCTGTTTGCTAAATCTTCCTCCATCTAACAAAACTACCTTTCTGATTTAAATGTTATTGCTATGAAAGAGCACAACTCTAGCTTAACAAAAAATTAAACCCATGGGGCCGGGGATTTGGATCAGTGGTTCCGCCTGCCTCTTAAGCACAAGGGCCCGAATTCGATCCCCGAAACCAAATAAATAAATAAATAAATAAATAAACCCATGGAGGCAGTGAGAAATACCAGTCAATACTTCTTAAAAGACTGACTTGTCCAAAGGTCTGAAAGACTGTACGACGTAGAGCTGACACTAAAATACACTTCTCCTAAATACAGATCAAATCATCTTTCCATTTCCCCCGATTGTGTGATGGTAGTGTAAATGCAAATCACTGCGTTGTCCTTTGGCCCACTAGGTGCGTGGGAGGAGGTGGAGGCGAAAGAGATAAGGGAACAAAAACTGTAGTGATGCCAAGGGGAAGGAACTGATTTTATTCCCATAAAGTGGTCTTTCTATGCAAGAAATAATGATCAGAGAACTCCACCTCAGAGAAATAGCATACTCATTATTTCATGCATTCAACCTGTATGTACCGAGAGAAATACAAGAATGAACAAAATAGCTCCTGACCGCAAGAAACTCATCAAGAGAATCTACTACCTTTTTAAGAGCAGTAACTTTAATACTGCTTTCAGCTGTTCTGAAGCGAGGAGCGCCGGGTTACCAAGTTTTCACAGCCAGGCTCAGACACCAGGAGTCCAGAGATCAAAATTCCGCTCCACCACATGCAGGTCTGCCGCTCCCAACTCTCAAGATGTCAATTCACTTTCTGGGCTCAGGGCCCAGTCACTCACCCTGCACTGACAGCGGAATCTGAACTTCAGTCTCCCTCCTCGCTCCGCCCTCTTGTCTTACGTCATCCATAAGCGCCACGGACGCGCGGACAACGTGGTTAACCGCACTTCCTGGTCACATGACGGTCACGCCCCTCCCTGCGTAGGGTCCCTCCCCCTGAGGCCGCGGTCGCAATTACGCTCCCTACGGCCTGCAGTCTGTGGGCCGCCGAGAGCTGGAGACACGCAGCTGATTGAGACCGGAAGACCTCTAGGCCAAATGGGTGGGCCACGCCGGAACCCAGAATTCTTCACCGTCCGAGACCAGACAGGCAACGAAA